TTCATTTCCTGAAGTTTAGCTCTTGCAATCTAAATTAGACCTGCCCAGGGTGTTTGCGAGGTCAGTGCTTTTGGAGGCTGCAGTGGAAACTTGTTTGGAGAGTGCTCAGGAGAGCTGGAACAATGTCAGATTGTGCTGGGAAAAGCTGTTTCATGTGGGATGTCTTCAAGGAGCAATTACAAAAATAACACTTGCTGTCAGCCGACAGAGCAGAGCAGTGAGTGGATCATAAATACAAAAATCTGCTTTGTCTTCCATCATCTCAAGATTTAAAGCTTTTTTATTAGAAGTTTGCATGGAGAAACGGTAATGTAAAACAGATACTCTTCTGAACAGGTCATAGCCACATCTTAAATGTTAATGTTGATGAGTTGGTAATCTGTTTAAAAGAAAGTATATGTTTTTACAACCATAGAAAAACTTCTGGCCTGTCAGAAAAGTGTGCAGGCACCTAGATCTGGCTCCTTCTCCCCTTCTTATGGGTGCATGGTCGTGTGTTTTACGGGTGCCTGCTGAACTGAGAGGGGCTGTTCAGGACTGCCTGAAAGCAAACACAATATTAGACATGACAGCTTTCCATCCTTCTCTGAGAAATATTTTTACATGTTGTGTGAAATGAAATTTTATCCATGATTGGCAAATGACCTGTAAAACTCTTTTGTATAAGCAGTTACACCTTGCAGTAAATTTAAACTCAGTTCTGGTCCACTCAGCATCATGTTCTTGCCTCACAAACCATTGAATAGATCAGTTTTTGACTAATTCTGTTTATCATCCTAAGGTTAGTTTTGGCAAGCAACATCTGTAACCTGCCACCATGAAAAATTATTTCCAACATGTTCTTCATTAAACTTTTCTACAATATTCAGCTGTCACTGGAGGACTGCGGCTTATCTGCTGAAGACCAAAAAAACCTGCAATGAATATTGACTGTCAGTTGTTCTTCATTAAAACCCCTTGTTTGGATTTACATTTGTGTCTGTTTAGCAGCACAAATAGAAAATACCAGTTTCCTTGCTAGTTTGCTGAAAAGTATGCAACCCAAACTGACAACGGGAAAGGATAGAAATATTTTTTTGTTTAAACATCAGTTAAATGAAATCAGAACTGATGTTTCTCCTGTATTTGAGAGGATATTATCATGTATCTTAGTTGCAAAGTGCTCTCTCTTTTATTAAAAAAAGAGCCTAGTTTCAGCTTGGAAAAAAATAATCATATCACATTCATATACAATGCCTTTAATTTGGATGGATTTTGGAGACTTTCAATAGCCTATTGCATAAACTACCTTAATTTCAGTATTGCATATCACTAAATGTAATCTGCCCATCAAGAGGCTGTGTGCAGTGACCCTGCAAAAGGTAAAACTGAAACAAAAAAATAATGCGGTGTTCAGTCTAAGCTGCTGTGGAAATTTGAGCAGGCAGCATGTTCTGAGGAATTAAATTTGGATAAAGGCTAATCTGATACCTGTCTCTGGGTTCACTGGAGACTGGGGCTGCTTTCATTAGCAGCTCTAAGCAGGGTCCTGGTGTAGTAGTATGAAATGCTGTCTGGAAGGAATGAACCCAAGACCCTCTCCTGTAAATGTACAAGAAACCTTTAAATGTAAGAGTAAATGCCTGTACCTGAAATTAATCTATATGAATACCTGCAATTAATTGGGTAATATTTTTGGCTGCTCTTGTCAGCTTGTATCTTTTGCTCTGGGCTGTTAAGAAAGAGATCAGGATTTAATTGCACAAATAGCAGAGAGGAGCTTGCGCCTCCAGAATATATTTCTGTTGTTGCCACCAAAGAGCAGAACAGAGAGGCAGTTTCAGGTTGTTTCACTGTAAGTGTGCTTGAGAAACAGCAATGTGCTCTTGAGAGATGGTGTACCCTTGATAAAATTTTTTTAGTCTGCTTGATCTGAATAAAATATTCACGTTTCCATATCAGAAGCAAGCAGAGCATTTATGGCATTCAGCAACCTTAATATTTTAAAGTATAGGAAAAGGTATGGAAAATTAACTCTCAGATATGGAAAACTAACACCTCAGAAGGTGTCAGCATCACTAACCCCTGCGTGAAAGTCACTGTTACTCAGTGTTTCCTCTTTCCAGCAGCCGGTGAGAGGAAACACAGATCACTGTGAAGCTGTTGCTCCATGCCAGCAAGCGTAGGATGCCATAGCAGGAAAGGAGGAGTCTTAAGAAATATCACTCTAAGGTACACCCCTTGTACACCCAGGGATTTTGCATGGTGTTTTTATGCCACAGCAGCTGCCATCCCATCGCTGTCTGTGGGTGAAGCAGAAGTTGAGCACCATAATCCCCACAGGAGTGCCTGGGTGCAGGGGGATTTCCAGCTTTTGCAAACACACTTATTCAGCACTGGCCTTTGTTTAACAAACATCTCCCATAATAAAACAGGGTTGTCTACCCAGTCTGAATTTCAGCTTGGTTGTGCCCCTTCTTCACCTCTTTTCCCCAGGTTGTTGAATATGTATGCCTGGTATGCACGCTAAACCCCAGGCTGGTGGCTTTCCATGTACCTGCCACAGTGGTGTTGCCCCCAGAGCTGTGGGGTCTGGTGTGCCTGGGCAGTTTGTGCCCATGGGAAGCCAGCTGAGCCACAGCTATTGTGTATGCTTTGTGTTCTGGGTCAAGCCCGATCGGTTTGTAACTCTACACTGCCATGTCAGGCAGAGACAGTGCCACTGGTGGGGAAGGATCATGCAGGAGTGGCAAGTGCAGGCAACAGGACAGTCTGAATTAGGAGCAACCAGGGGCAAAGAGAAAGAACCTGCTTTGGAGTTTAGAAATGGTACTGATGCTCTGCCCAGCCCTTCCAAAACACTTCAGGTACTGTGATGGGCTGTCCCAGCAGCACATCCGTGCCACAGACAGGGAGCCACACCACACCTGAGACAGACTGAGAGAGTTGGCTGTCAGCCTGGAGAAGGCTCTGGGGAGACCTTAGAGCAGCCTTCCAGTACCTAAAGGGACCTATAAGAAAGCTGGAGAAGGACTTTTTACAAGAGCATGTAGTGATAGGACAAGAAGTAATGGCATTAAGCTGAAAGAGGGGAGATATAGATCAGATACAAGGAAGAAATTCTTCACTATGAGGGTGGTAAGGTCCTGGCACAGGTTGCCTAGGGAAGTTGTGGTTGCCTCATCCCTGAAAGTGTTCAAGGCCAGGTTGGATGGGGCTTTGAGCAACCCGGTCTAGTGGAAGGTGTCCCTGCCCATGGCAGGGGGGTTGGAACTGGATGAGCTTTAAGATCCCTTCCACCCCAAACCATTCTGTGATTCTGTGCTCCACAGCTCAGCAGGCATCCACCTGTAGTGTCAGCTCCTGCCCCATGACCCCAGTAGGCTGGTGTTGGGGGACCCGCTGGTGAAGTGGGACCCTACACTAGACAGTGCTGCTCCCTGTGTCAGCGGGGAGCCCTCTGCAACACTGGAGTCTGCGTAGTGTCATCCACCGAGGTGTGACTTCTCATGCCCCAGATGTGGCATAGTTCTCATCAGAGGAGTTCCCTTCCACCTGCTTCTTCATCCCTGCTATGCTCCTGTTTTTAATCATACTTCAGCACCATCCATCTCAGTCACATGCCAAGAGCCCTGTGTTCCCACCAGAAAAGAAGTAAGGCCAGCCATGGGGGAGGGTGGTGGTGTAAAAAAGAAATAATTAGAAAAAGCCAGAGTGACTTAAGTAAAAAGAACATTTAGAAGAAAGGGGATGGCAAATAACAGCAGTTAATTGAAGCTGTTCTCATTCAGAGAATCAGTCTCCCTTTTCATCAAGCAGTAAGAGAAGAGAAAGCTGCTTGATGCATCTTGTTATCAAGGAATTAAGCCATGCATCTCTGAATCTTGCAGGAAGAGAAGGAAGGCAGAGCTCGTTCAGGCAAAGCAGAAACCACATACAGAGAAGAGTTTGCTTGAAGATAATTTTCATTCATTAGTAAGAATTACCATTCTAAAACTTTTTTAGTAATTGTTTCATGTGACATTTTGCCACTGTATGTGTGTATATGTATAATAGAAATAAATTAAAAAAATAGATTGTTTGTGTGTGCTATTTGTTTATACACATGACATGGGAATAGTTTCTGTCATGTTGTTGTAGCTCGGGAGCTTGGGACATGATTTTCCAGAGAGCATGAAAGACTGGCACAGCTTTGCTGTCCTTCCATGTGTGGGCAATACACCTCACCAACTAGGAGATGTTGCTCATCTAGGTGTATTTTCAGGGAAACAATATGGGGCTTCCCTTTACATCTGTGGAGAATGGGATTTCACTCTGACCTCAATGCCCAGCTGAGGTTTGTTTGTAAACATCTGGGAGCTCCAGGGATAGGAGAATTCATGCCTGTACTTAAAACCTGCTGATAGCTGTTGTTTGTTTAGCTGTTGTCTGAGCGTGTGAATGTAGAGCTGTTTTCTTCATAGAGGTGGCTAAGTGAAGCAGTGAAGTGTATATATAGAAATTAAGCTTCAGTGCTGAGACCATGTTAATTTTCATAAAGAAAAATATTCTGCTCAAGCACTGCAATGAGGTATTTCTTCTGTGGTGTTTATGTTCCAGTTACAGTAATTGTCTGAACTGTCATTATAAGGGCTATTATTAAGTACAGTTTTCTGTGAATACTATAGCTTGTGCAGTGGAAGTGTTCTACTGGACAGTGTACTTAACAAGTTATCATTTCACTTGCTGTTAAAATCATATGTAGTATGAAAACCCATAAGTTGTTGCACAATAGTAGTGTTGCCTAGCAGTGCTTCTGAAAAGCTTAACCATTACCTACCTGTCCCTGATATACTAAGGACAGTGAGATCAAACAGCAATGTCCAGAGTTAAAACAAGTATGTTTATTAGAAGTCTTTAAATTCAACAAGCATTTTTCATTGTTTAAAGATTTATTTTTTTTTCTTTGTTTATGTAGAGGTGTTTACGTTCTCTGGAAGAGTGAAATGCATTTAACCAACAGTGTGTTTCTTCTCTCTTAGATTACCGAACTTTGTGGAGCCAAGCGTGTGGGTTATTTTGGTCCTGCTCAATTTTATATTGCTTTGAAGTTAATTGCAGCAGCTCAGTCAGGGTTCCCAGTACGGATTGAGAGCATTAAGAATGGTAAGTAGCCAATTTTGCTTGCAGCACTCTGGATTTGTTTCTTACTTTCTTTAATGCTTATCAGCTCTCCATGGTGGTAAACTTTTTCTTCTAATATATCTATGCGTAGAAGATAATGTTATATTCTCTAAGTGATTGGTAGAAAGTTTCAGTGAATTACGTGTGTGGCAAAGCTGAGATGACATCCCCTTCTAGAAAAAGCTTTACCAAAGGAGTGGAATGAATGACAGCTGATCAGTGCTAGGGATGCATCTCTCTCTCACCTTCAGCCTCTGATCTTGACAGCTGTCCAGAATGGGATCTTATTGCTGGGTCGGGTGGAGGCTTGTTGTGGCGGATGTGGGCAGGTCACAGGTCCCCCTGTGGAGGGCAGCTTGCAACATTCATCATGCTTTAGCAAATAATCCTGCTTAAATAAATAGGTAATGGTGACAAAATCCTAATGCTTCCTATCAGTAGGTATGAAAATGCGTATTAGATGTAATTTAAAACAGCTTTGTTCTTCCCAGTGACTTGACAGCAGTATTAGATGTACTATTTTTGATGGGGAAAAATGCTTCTTAAACATGCTTATCAAATTCAAGTGATGAGAGAAAGCAAGGCCTTTTTAGCTGCAAAACCTTGATAGCAGCTAAATGGCAGGAGCTCTGTTTTTACCTTGGTGATGCATGCTCTGCCTTGCTGATGGATGCCTTGCCTTAGCAAGGCTCAGGCTTTGAAACACACTTGGCTTTTCACTTGGGCTTGAGCCTGAACAGGTTTGAACCTTTAGCTCCCAAATCCCAGGCAGACGTTTAAACCATGCCATGAGGCCGTGCTCTGGGCAAGAGTGCTTACCACCATCCAGCTGAAGGCAGTGATGCAACCAGCCACGAGACCAGAAAGGAGATAGGAAAGGCAGGACATAACCATAGCCTTGCAGTTGGGTCACTATTCACAGCACAGTTTCTGCTCTGCTGTCCCTGCTAAGGGCAATGAAATGTAAAATCCATCTATGTTACAAGGCACAGTGAAGGGATTCCCTGGTCTGCCCCCATCTGAGAGGGAAGCCAGGCTGGCAAGCATGTGCAGACCTGTGTGAGCTGAGCTCCTGTGATGCAGGGCTCCCAACCAAGTGGAAGGGATTGGATGCAGGTGGCATGGCTCAATGCCTGGCTGGAAGGGGAGTGTAAACCAGAGGTGAAGGAGGGTGGCTTGAATTTGCCGGTTTTCTTACAGACAGTTTTGTGCGCTCTCTCGGCACTGCTATCCTTGTTAAGCATGTTAATTTGAACCTCACCCTCAAAAAAAACCCTGAGCCCAACCCTAAAAACCACCAACAAATTCATGTAGAAACATCAACTAAGTGAGATTTACTGTGTTTTACACATATAGCATAGGATCATAGAATGGTTTGGGTTGGAAAGGACCTTAAGATCATCAAATTCCAACCCCACTGCCGTGGGCAGGGACACCTGACCCCGGACCATGTTGCCCCATTCTCTGTCTAACCTGGCCTTGAACGCTGCCAGGGATGGAGCATTTACCACTTCTTTGGGCAACCTGTTCCAGTGACTCACCACCCTCACAGTAAAGAACTTCTTCTTATATCTAACCTGAACTTTCCTTTAAACTTAAGTTTAAACCCATTACCCCTTATCCTGTCACTACAGTCCCTAAGGAAGAGTCCCTCTCTGGCATCCTTGTAGGCCCCCTTCAGATACTGGAAGGCTGCTATGAGGTCTCCACGCAGCCTTCTCTTCTCCAGGCTCAACAGCCCCAACTTTCTCAGCCTGTCTTCATACGGGAGATGCTCCAGTCCCCTGATCATCCTTGTGGCCCTTCTCTGGACTTGCTCCAACAGCTCCTTGTCCTTCTTGCTTCAAGGACACCAGAACTGCCACAGTATTCTAAGTGGGGAGTGCAAATAGTCCACATACTTGAGTGAGGAAGGGTACTTGCAGTCTTTGCATTGATACCCTGATTGCTTACTGTTACTGAAATGCTTCCAGTGCTAATTTAATTTTCTCTTGAAATATATGAGTGCCTTTAGAGTGGGGTGAGTTACATGTACCAACCCAAATCGAGTTCTTTTTCTTCCTTGTAGTAGCTCTAGGTGTAAATTATTACGGAAGTAACGTATGGCTTTGCTAGGTTTTGAGCATTCTGTTAGTTTGAATTGTACTGATCTTTCAGGGTGACTGCCCACAAAAATAAATGGTGTTCCTTCAAATTAATCATGAATTGTCTTAAAGGGTGACAAAGTGTCCTCCTGCTGCTCTTCAGAGCAGATGTGACATGGGACCTTTTGACACTGTCATTTCAACAGGCCTTGGCATGATCTCTGAACCCTACTATTTTGAATTTGTTCCTTTTATGATGGCAGTGTTGAGGATACTGTGATCCTGACTGATTAATTCATCAGTCCCACGGTTTCTGTGGGAAACCATTCTTTTCATTACACACAACGTTTTGAAGACAGGAAATGAGTTTGCCACTTGCTTTAATAATGTGCACAAGGCTTATTTCTTTCTCTTTGCATGGAGAGATTATATATTAAGCTAGTGAATGTAGCTTTGTATAACATTCACATTTTTATCAAGATACAAAATAATCACAGGAGTTCCACGCTTACAAATGTTACAAAATATAAATAGTAGTCTTTTACAGATAAACTTCTCATTGGTTTTACAAGAGGATACTGCTTAAAGTACTTTTAATGTGCTGTAGTCTCAGCTGAATTTTTCTCTCTTTTAATGAAGAACTGCCCCTGCCACGGTTTATGGCGCTGAAAAATGACAGTGAAGCACGTTACGGGACTCCAGCAGAGCTCCATGGAGTTAAGTTTCAGGTTCCACATGCAACTTTGGAAAAAAATTCCTACAAAAGAACAGATGAAGGGGACAAACAGGTAACAGGCTTGTCTCCTTCAGGCCAGTATGTCATTACACAATCTCCTTCTGGGTCCAATGATTACAGTCACAGGGGCTTACTGAGTTTTGCAGTACTAGACAGTAGATGAACTCCTTTCATGCAAATAATCCCGATTGGGCTGTGCTCTTATTTTTGATGCATCCCAGTTGCATCCCTGCAGGGAATTTCTCTATATGAGCTTGTATAAAGCTGTCAGCACTGTAATATTCAGTGTAAGTTCTTTCAGCGTTGTCCTCCTACTTAGTCGAGCACTGTTTCTTGGAGAGGCCTAAGGGAGGAGCAGCAAATAGAAACCTGTCTGTGAAAGAGAACGAAAGCAAGCAGTTTCTCATGGCCTGTATGATATTTAGTAACTACAGAAATATTCAGCTGGAGAAGAGTTGTTGAATCATGAGCAACTATTTCTGAGTGGGGTAAGACCACCAGGTTTTCTTCCGTTCTAGCCTCTTAGAGGAGTGGTCCAGAGTAAATCTGATTTTCTTTGTCCTCAGTGAAACATTGTCCCAGCATTCTCTGTTCTGAGTAGGCAATTTAATAAAGCTCTCTAAGGGAGATTTGTATTACCTGTACTTAGTAGAGTTGAGAGCACTTACTCAGATACAAGCAGCTTCACAATGCAACCTTGATTTGCATAATTTTCCCCAGGCCTGACACCTTCTTCTCTGGTACTGTATCAGGTAATGCTTTAAGTGCCTAGTGGCAGGCACTTTATCTTCCTGTAATGTGCACACACATTTATCACACAGTGTGCCAGTGTGAGTAACAGCATTCCCAGCCTGAGGTCAACCAACAGGAATGAGCTGATGACAAGATGGTGAGAATAACAGGATGAGGAAGAAGAGCATGTATGTTTATCTGCCTGAGTGTACTGATACTGAAGCGGAACACTGCCTTCAAACCCCTGGCTCCATCTAGGTTATCTTTGTTGTGCTATATTTTCCTTCTTACTCAGTAAAACTGTTTCAGGAAAAAATCCTCCTCCTAAACAATCTCTGTATGTCAAGGGAAAGAGAAAGCTTTAGGATAGTTACCCACTAACACCTACAAATCTACAGAGTGCCTAAAATACTGATTCAAGAGATTTATTTTGATTTTTAATAAGTTTTTATATGAAAAATGCTCTCCCACAAAGAATGCACTCACACTGTGTTATGTAAATTCAAAGATACCCACTCACATTAAGCCTTCTACATGTACTTCTTAAGTCATCTTTGGAAGCAAAATATTTTAAGCTGTTCATTGCGAAGTTTTGCTATGGCATTGCCATGCTTTACCTCTAGAAGGCTCAATACCAAAATCTGTCTTGCTTTCTCAGGAGCTTTTTCATGGAAATAAAGGGCCTGCAGGAGCTGCAGTATTTGCGTCTTCTTTGTCAGTCATGCTGCATGCTGTGTAGGATTACTTGGTGGTTTTTTGGTCTCAGAATTGCTTTTTGTGTTGGTGTGTTTTAAAATAGGAGCCCAGATCTCCTCCAGTGTCTCCAATATGCTCACCTCCTGCTTCTCCATCTACTTACCAGAGAATACCCCTAAGTTATGGATATGGTAAATCAAGAAGTGGTCTGGAGCAGCAGCACGGAGGTAGGATAAAAATTGGGATGCACACATTGTTTTCAAATTTTTTTTTGTTTTCTTTCTCAGAAGCATCAAATTTCAAATGCAACTGACAGCATAATGATTAAAAATTTAGCTAGACCTGTATTTTGAAAAATTATTTAATCAACTTTATTTTGATTGTTCAATCCTGTCTTTCTGTTCATGATCTGGTAAATCAGTTAGATTTATATGTCATGGCTCACAGATAGATGCAAATAGCCAATCTATGACAAGGCTATGTGCAATGAATCACAGTGACAGGGTGCTTGTGAGTATTTTCAGAGTGCATGGTGCCTTTACTTTTATTAGAGGGGAAGAAAATCTCCTGATTTCAGTAGCCACTATATCAGTTTTCAGATTGGCAGTGAGCCTTCCTTTGCCAGGCAGGATAATTATCTCTCTAAGTCTCTTCAGTTTTGTAACAGAAATAACACTAAACCATGAATATAAAAACAGTCCCACAATGTCACATAGGCAAAACAGTCAAAAATAAGACTTCGTCCTTGATCTCACTGCCATTAGAGTAGGTGGGAAAACATTCTGATTTTAGTAAGAAGGTAGTAGACAGGAGCCTGTTTTTTTAGTAACAGGAACTTCTAAAACCATAGTAAAGTTGTTGCACTCTCCTAATTGCAACATCTGGTGACCAAGATACTGGCAATAGTAGGCATTTGTGTCTGTCATCCTTCCCTCCCTCATTCCTCCTGCCTTCAGTTAGTGTGTTTGCAGTGGGTGAAGTGTGGTACTAGTCCATTTAGCTGTTGTCCTTGTTTACAAATGAGTGAAAATACAGAGCTATTTCATTTTGAAACTCAGTACAGCCATGATAAGACTGTGTTCGACATTGTCAAGTGGCCTTCATGTGAAAGTCATACCAGTACTGAGTCACAGGCATTCACTTGCTGATTAGGTAAACGGCTGGTTTTTCAGTGATGGGATTTTTCCTCACCCCACCTTTGGCATAACTGATCAAAACAGCGATGGTTGACTTCTGAAGTAAGCAATACTAGTGAGGTGGTACTATTCATTTCTGCTCCAGTGAAGAAGACGTGGCAGGTAGCCCACACACTGAAGAGCTAGGCAGGAGGTGGCCACCAGGAGTAGCTGACTGTGCCACCTCTGTTCTTTTCTGGGACTCTGTTCCAGATTGGTTAGTGCTGTGGGGGCATTTTGGGTGTTGGGGTTTTTATATTTGTTCCTCCTCTCTCCCCTTCCTCCCCCCCGAATTTGCTTGCAAACGTAACTCATGGGGTCAATGGCTGTGGAAAGTGAGTAGAGGTATCCAATCTAAGCTGTCAATTTCTTCTAAAATCAATTATTAAACAGCTTGAATTTTTAAGGTGAAAAAATATTACAGGCATAGAACACTATGGTTATTTTCCAGAAAGAGAATTTCTCCTATATTCCAGAAAAGGAAGCTCTCCTATTCTAATCCCACTGGGGATACTTCAGCCAAATGTATTCACAGTGACAGTAAGTGGATCACATTTTAGAGCCCGTGCTGTGCCAGGCTAGGTGACCTACTGGTTCTTCCTGGCCTTTAAGATGAGGACTCTTCCAGTTTTTTGAAGATCATTTGAAAAGATAGTTCTGGAAGCCACCGTGTTAGTGTATGCACAGGAGGTGCTGGTGACACAGCAGTGACACAGGTCGGCTGGTCTGCGCTGCAGGTGTGACCATGAAACTGGGCAGTCCTTTGCACTGCGACTGTGACTATACTTTTTTCTTGATAGTTTTGGATGCTTTTCTTGCTAGCAAGCACAGATCAGTGTGACCTTGTGTTTAAATCTCCTTTCCAAGGGCATCTGTATATTTCACAACTTCCTTCCCATATTTTTTTTTCTGAAATTAGAAGTTGCTTGTACAGGAATAAAAAATTGATGCCAATACAGGATAAAAATACTTAGAAAAACAAGGGGGTTAGGGGTATAATTTTTAAGGTCTGAACCTATTTTAAGATTTCGTTGTTTCACTTTTCATTACGGGTATTTTGAGTTCTGTCTGTAAGTTTTGAATAGGCTGGCAGCAGAAGTTCTCGGGTCCTTAAGGGTCTGTGAGTGGGTTGCCTTTTTGTTTGCATACTTAACCTATTTTTAAAACATTGTTCCTAAATGTGTTGTTATGCCACCATTTACTGTATTTTCTGCTGTGGAATGTGACTTATTTTAGCAAGAAAAGAAGCAATTGTTACTTTTATTTAGTAACTTTACTCCAAAGAATGCAAAATGTATTTTGATTTTCAGTAGAAATTAGGGAAGGGGGAAAGAAGAATATATAAAAAATAGTGATTTACTAATTGGTAACATTGTCAAAGCATATTTTTTGCAGCTCCGTTGAATTGTTTCTTCTTATTTGTAGTGCATTCTTGTGCTATATATGGCTATAAGTATACAAAACGTATAAACAGGCTATATAAGCATATGTTTCAACATGGTGAACAATGATTTTTGTTATCTAGTAATATATAACTGACAGTTTCTATCAGTAATGTCTGAAGAATGATGTAACATAAAAGACAAGTATGTGGCTGGAATATTGTTGCAGAAGACAAAATGGATTTTGATACTAGGTTCACAAGGTAGATTCTTGACCTTGTGGTATTTAATGATTTCCTTTACCCTAGTAGGATCTTTTTGATTATTCTTTTATTTTATTTATGTACTTAATTTTTAAATGTCTGTAGTTCCTTATGAAGTCAGACACTCTGCCCACCAGCAAGATGGACCATCATCAGGGAATTACGGAGCCAAGCCTTCACTCACCTGCTCGACTCCAAATCGGGTAATGAGTTACATGTTTTTCTTTAGTAGTGCTACTAATAAACAACAGAGGAAGAAAAAAAGGGCAGAAAAATTCTCACATGAGATGTAAGAAGTGTTCTTCATGGTGTTTTTAAAGTAGAGGCTGCAAAATGCTTTTTTAGTATATGAAAAACAAAATAAAAAGCTGATGGGGAAGGAGGAATTACAATAAATAATCCAATTAATTAAATTGCTGAAGCTAAGTAGAAGTAGTATCAAAGAGCATAGATAGGAAAACTATACTAAGAATCTCCAGTTAAAAAGTAAAAAAAAAAAAAGAAATTGAGGTTATCCTAGCAGAAGTAAAAGTTTTCATTTAAAACCTATGAGGTTTCACAGAGATTCTTGTTTGATTTAGAATGTTGTCTGTAACACAGGCACAGAATTTATGGCCTAATATTCTGTGTACTTTTTTTTCACCTCAGTTGGTTAAATCACATTGCAAATAGAATAAATTTGTTTCTGACAGTATTTTTGGTTTTATGAGATGGGTCTTATGTTTTCCTGCTTTTTGCAAAAGCAGATCTTTCCAATGTTCGTGCATACCTGCTGTGCATTTATTATGTGAACAGGTAGTTTACCCTAAGGATTAGCTTTTCCTAAATAAGTAAGACTCGGAGACTGTGTGCCTTTTCCCAAGTGCTTAGCACTCAACACACATATTAAAATGTCACTTGAGCCTCAGGAAAAGATGTATAGGTAGTGTCACATAATTTGTGCTAACTTGAAAGAAAAGTGAGTGCATTTGTGTAGCGCTTTGAAATGAAAATTAGTTTAAGGCTTTATGATGTTGCCTGTTTGGGGGATCTTTTGATGTATTTCAGAACAAGCGTTTTGTGTTTGCTTCTTAGGAAATGGACATGTATGTCAGAGAAAGGGTTTCAGAGCTAGCTGGAGTCAGGCTATTGTTAATTCTTGTCCCTCCTCTTTAAAAGCTTCGTCATCCAGACCTATATCTTGACTATTAAGTCAGTCCACTTTAACAAAGGTAGTAACTGTACCAGCAGCCCTCTTCTTGACATCACCACTCAACCTACCGGACATACAGACCTTCCTTAGACAATTCAATCAGAAAACAAAGACATAAATGGACAAAATGTCCTTTTCATCCAAAATATTCTTATTCCTGAAGTAGGAGTTTTTACCTAAACCATAGGAAGTGACAGAGGGTTGAGGAGGTCTCAAGAGTTCTGCATGTCTCCCTGGCTTGGTCTAATGTGTTCTTGAGTTACTTGGGGCACGTAGAAGGTCCAGAAGTGGTGTAGCTCTGTAATAACTAAATATATACTTTCTTAGCAAAGCTAAGTTGTCATGCACTGTGCTGGATAAATACAGCTTTAGGTCCTTTACTGTTTCCATCCGTTTCAGGTGTACAGTGTGCATTTCAGGGTTGTAATGCATGGCAGCCAAAATGACCCCCTAAAATGAATCCAAAGGTAATAAATTTTGACATGGACTTTGCTTTTTTGCAGTCAGCAGTTGTAAGATTTCTTTTTTTTCTTTTAGCTTGGTTCATGTAAGACTTCCTTTAATCGTCTGGGTAAAGATGCCTAACATTAGCCTCAGCTCTATTGGAAAAGTAGTGAGTGAGACAGTAATCTGTGTGGCTGTTTCTGCTTCACATCTTTTTAAAATACGTGTTTTAAATGTAAATCACTCCCTAACAGAACAGAGTGAGTGTGGTTTCTTGAGGTGCCCAGTGCTCTTCTACCCCACCACTGGTGGCTGGTACCAGTGTCCTTCCTTTCAGTCTCTTTCAGCAGAGCGGGAGCAACAGGACAGCAGCACCCACTATTCAGATGACCCTTGGAGGATAACGGAGGAGCAGCGAGACTACTATATCAACCAGTTCAGGTCCTTGCAGCCTGACCTGAACTCCTTTGTTTCAGGTAATTTCTACCAAACACCATGCATGTCAAACAGAGAGACCAGGCTGAGAAGTGAGAAGTGTTAAGTAGATAAATTAATTCTTTTTTTCTGTCTGGAATGAGCTTATGAGAAAAAATTGGTTGTGGCAGACATCTCAAAAAGCAAACCAATACTGTGGCTATTACGTTTTTTCTTAAATATCCTCATTTTAGAAAACATTGTATCTAAAGGAGAAGTGTTGGCAATTCCACAGAAATTAAAGTGAGCTCTCTGTATTTCATCTGCTGTACTTGTGGATCACATCTGCAGTGTATACTGAGCTGAAAAACTTAGGTTGTATATTGAGCTTAGAGTTGTGCTTGCTTTCCCAGCAGAAATGTGGCAGTATTCATGGGATGAAAGTGAAGCATGCAGTCGCTGTCACGTGTGGCCAAGCCTGAGTGTTTATGCCTCTGCAGACTCAGATTTTGATCTTTAGGTGATTAGAAGCAAATCCTGGATAGCTCACACATTTTTGCACACAGTATTGTTAACAGCATGAGATTACCTTTCCATCCTGAATAGGAGGATCAGGGTGCTCATGAAAGTCATTGTGGGTATAGGCAGTACCTTTCATGCTTGGTTTGGTAAGGAAGACATCACAGTTTGTAAACTGAGGTGTTTTTACTGAGCCCTGCTGGATTACTAGGGTTCAGGAGGCTTGGATCCAGCCGCAAATTTAAATAACTTGCTGCTGACAGAAATTAGTGCTTCACCAGTTCTTTGCCTCAGTTAACACTCCTTCATATAATCTTCTTGAAAGGGAAAATGGTTGTCTAACAACACTGTATTTCCTCAAAGACTTATTATATGTCTGGAGCTGCGTATGCATGTATATATGCATATACAGCCTCTCAGGTAGTTGTGCATTTTCCCTTATGTTGAGCAAGGTGCTCAGGCAGTCCTTGCCTATCTAAAATTACTGTTTAAATGGTAAATTTGAGCTTCCACAGTATCTGAAAATAATTAAGCTGTAGAAATCCTTGCTACAGCATGTTACGGACACTAGAGGTTTGTTGAGATTCAGGAAGTTATTTGAGAAATCTGTGATTGAAGAAATCTGTCATAAGTTATTAAATATTTAAGTGCTACCCCTGGTTGAGAAAGCTCCTGAATTGCAGGTGGTCAGAGGGTGGGGGATATTCTGGAGGTATATTGTTATTACATGGCTTCTTCATGGTTACATACTCCTCTCCTGGTATCAGGTATTGGAGAGGACATGGCTGTGCTAGGCGAATCTTGGACAGTTTTTATGTACTGCAGTGGGTGATCTGACCTGAATGCCCAAGGGGAAAAGGAGCATAGATCTGGAAGTCTGTGCTGCATATTGCCTTATGTTTTGTAAGAGCTTGTGTCCAACTAGGGCTTCCCGATAACCCTGATAACCTATGCATATGGGATGGTGAAGAAGCGAATGTGTTAGCTGGGTGAAGAATGAGAAGGACTGTAGTGGCAGGATGAATGAGAATGTCTGCAGCAGGACAGTAGCTCTGTGGTAGCTGAATCTCCATGTTCCCCTTCCCCCAAAAATCTGAGCCTGAAGGGAAAAGTCATGATTGAAGCAGCTTCTTGGGAGAGCAGTGTAGATGCTACAGCACTGTACTGACACACACATGTCTTCTGAGTGAAGTAGAGTTGTTTGTGTCTGTTATTTCATCATTAGTGACATAGTAATTATGCCGGTTAGAATCGCTAGTACTAAAGCGTGTTTTCCTTCCTTCAGTTTTTCCCATATGGAGGGAATGGGGAAATGAGGTCAACAGCTCTGTCTGGCTTTCTTTGTCACTTATTCAGCAAGAGACAAATGGTCCAACAGCCATAGTAGCATTCAGTTAATCTGAGTGTCTCTTGGATGTAAAGTAACCAGCTGCTTCTGGTATGGCAGCTCTGGTCAAAGGTAAATAATTGGAGAACTAATTTCCAATGGTTGATAAGGCACAATTTCCCAACAGGTTCTGTGGCAAGGAATTTCTTCACAAAATCAAAGCTGCCTATCCCAGAGCTTTCTCACATCTGGTAAGTACTGTAATAAGTGTTGGGGATGTGTATCCTTGTATCACCCCCCCCTTTTTCTTTTTTTTTTTTCATAAAAGATGCTTAATTCAAGAGTTCTTGTTAAATTCTGAAAAGTGTCTTCAATTATGATTATTGCTCTTATCTCCAGAATCACTTTCAGGCCCAAGCAGCAGGGTGCTCATTGATCTTCCTGACATGCTTGTTTTCTGGGGAGATGTTCACCTACTCAGTGGGACTGGGAAGGTTTGAAGAGATATATAACTGAGAGCTGTTCTTAAGCAGCATCATTAGCTCCATGAAAGTGATGTTTTTTCATTAAATGACACAGAGGAGAAGCACCTCTGGAATGTTTTAGATGTGTTGTTGGTTTTATGTTTCTGGCTGTGTTTTGTCAGAGGAGGCCTAATTAATGCCTAATTTTTAGGAAGTACAGCTACATAATTCATTGGTGCTTTTCTAATGAACCAGTACACTTTTAATGAGCTTATTTAGAAATGATTGCAGATGGAACTGTACATGATAGAATTTGACAATAAACAACATGGTGCTTTGTAATTCAGTGTCATCCTTGCATCTCAGATAGGAAGAACAGTTTTAAACATTGATCAGAAATGGTGATTGAATTTATATATGCTTTTATAAAGAGAGATGAGAAAAAAAGCTTGCAAGAGCTTAAACATCTGTTGGGGTCAAAGAATATGTCTGGAATCTTTTCAAAGTGGATTCTCAGTTGTGAAAATAAAAAAAAAAATAATCAAAACCCAAACAACTGAAGAAACATAGTGTTGGGGGAAATGAATATTGGAATTTAAATTTAAGAATACTAAAGAAGAATGGATTAACCCAATATGTTAATAAAACACGGTTTCTTTTTATTGCTGACACAAGTTGTTCTCTGTGCAAAATTTAAAGATTTTATCCTTTCTAGTAGATAATTATGATTTTGTGATGTGATGTGTCAGGTCATGTTGCTGTGTTAAACACATGGGAGGTTTCAGTCTTCATCACTATAACCTCAGCAGCTTGAAAAAGTCTCATTACTTTCAAAGAGTAGGAAGTTATATGTTTATTTGCTTTAGTCCATGTGCTTATGGTAAAATATTATTCAGTTCTTGCAAATAGTGAATTTATAAAATCGAATTCTTGCATTTATGAAGAGCGGTTTTAGTGTTTAAGAAGAATCCTAGAATTAGAACTGCTTTAGTGGGAAGTTAACAATAACATTTAAACTTGTGATGATCATTAATTTAACTCTTCTCTTGAAGCTAGTCAGTGGTCCTAACTAACCATTGCTGAAGTCTGTTTGTAACCTTCTGTGCTTGAACTGGTTTAAGATCCTGCATGGATTGGTGAAAAGTGCTTTCAACCTTTGGAAAGTTAATTTCACCCTTGGAAGTACAAGATACATATTTCATGTTCCAAAATATGCATATCATCATATTTTATGGTATGATATATAATAAAAAAATTACTGAATCAAAAAAGCAAAATGTGACAAGTCACTATAGAAACATATAATGCTTTGTGGTGGAAGGGACCTTCAAAGGTCATCTAGTCCAACCCCCCTCCAGTGAGCAGGGACATCTTCAACTACATCAGGTTGCTCAGAACCACACCCAGCCTGGCCTTGAACACTACCAGGAATGGGGCAGCCACAGCTTCTCTGGGCAACCTGTGCCCTGTACTTTACCACCCTCATTGTAAAGAATTTTTTCCTCACATCCAGCCTGAATCTACCCTTTTTTATTTTAAAACCATTGCCCCTTGTCCTGTCACAACAGGCCCTGCTGAAAAGTCTCCCCACATCTTTCTTATAGGCTTCTTTTAAAGACCCCAATAAATTAACTTGCTTCATCTTCACGAGACAAAGTTACAGTGAAGTGCAAATGAGAGAGATGTTCATCTTGTATTAAAATGTTCCTTCTCAAAGTTGCATTTCTGTCTCCACTGTGAGGGGGAGGTAATGGCTTGGAAATGGCTTGGAAAACATGTGTCTCTTCTATCCGCAGGGAGCTGAGCGATGTGGATTGTGATGGGGCGCTGACACTCCCGGAGTTTTGTGCCGCTTTCCACCTTGTGGTTGCAAGGAAGAATGGTTATCAGCTGCCCGAGACACTGCCAGAAACACTGCTGCCAGAGTACCTCCAAGCAGGTAATGTCTTTGTGGGAGGTCACGTTCCTGCTGCCATCTTAGGAACCCAATGTGCCTGTAAGACAGGTTTCATGTTCCGTCCTGCAGGTAGGATAGCTCTCCAGATGCTTTCTAATGCATACATTTTTAATGTTGCTGTAAAAGTAATGTATAAAAGCAAGAAATAGCAATGCAAAGCATAGCAGTTACCTGCTTCTCTATGTCTACCTCTTCCCTCAAGTGTGCTTCAGGTGTCATTATAGCTAAAATGGCAGATGATACTCGTAGCAAAGATAATCCAGTGACTCTTCTGATGATTTTTTCCCCATAAGTATCTGTCTCTTGAAGATGTATGGAAAACGAGACTGGACTGCTTTAGAACTTAGTATGCTAATATATTCAGTTAGATGCAGTTACTGGTTTATATCAAAGGTTGATTCTTTTTTTTCTCTTGTAATTTATTTTATATAATCTACAGATTCTTCTATAAGCAATTTACAGTAATGATGGGGGGATTACAGCAATTTGTGTAGTACAGGGATGCATTAATCTGAAATATAACATACCTCAGTAAGAAAGTGCAGTAAGAGACCTGCCCCTTCATTTGTTCTCTTCAGTTATGTCTCTTTTAATTATAAATGAGCATTGAAATACATACTGTTCCATCTAAAAAATGTTCATGACTTTCTAGGGCAAGGAGGATTAATCACAGATGATAATTACAGTGCTAAGGGATAATATTTAAGACCTAATAAAATCTCCATTGAATTTGATGACACTGAATATATTAACAGACAGGAAAAGAGCTAATCAAGCTGTAGTTAGGAAAATTAAATGTTCACCCTGTATCAGATTTGTGAAGTAGTTTCTGGTGGAGTCATGTTCCTTATAATTCACTATCTTCATATCCAAAGTGAGAAGCTCCTCTAAAACCTGCACTTAAAAGTTGTCTTCTCTGTTAGTCTCTCTACTTACATTCCCTTTTCATAATTACAGCTACCCTTTCCCTCCAGGACCACCACTTTGTTTGCTACTCTCGCGCCTCATGATAATGAGCTTGTAAGCAGGTTCTTGTAGTGTGTCTTCACATCAAGCCTTTTTGGGTAAAACAACAATGGAAATGATTATCTCTAGTTGTAGGGAATCGTAATGTCTATGGGAGGAAAAGCATGGCAAGCTGTGGTTGTTGCCTGGAGGAGTCCTCCATTTCCCTAATTCCCCCCTTTCAGCACTGGTGTCTTAACCACTTTTTTTAGATAATTGTTGCATGGTGTTGTACACAACCAAGCATTTCAAGCTGATGTATGTGGAAGAGATGAGAGGACTGGTTATTGTGGACACTTTAAATTCCTCAGCTAATATGCTAATTCTGCTCAGCTTGAGGATCTGAAAATGTCTTGTGCTTGTTCTTCTACCTAGTCAGGATTCAGAAATCTGTCATTTGAAAGACTCACATTAATAAAAGGAACAGCATCCCAACACACTAACACCATGAATAGCATAGAGCCTGGTTGTATCAACTTCTGAAATTAAAGCAGTGATAAGTAAGCAAGTACCTCATACACCTGCCTAAAGTCCTAAAATGTCAAGAAACTGTTTTCATGTTTCCCTAATAACCCCAATGAGGATTACTGGAAACTGTTTTTCATTAGGTTATTGTATTAGTTTCAGAATTATGCAAAATTTGGTTAAAGTGAAATATTTGCATCTGATAAGAGTACTAAAGCTTCAAATAAAGTGACTTGGAGCATAAGGCAGAGCATTTAAGAATGATTTAATCTTGCTGTTTTATGGCTTGCTCTGTAAACTGCAAGTGCAGGTTCCAGTGCTGTCCTGGCACAGCTCCATTAAAAATCTGACCCACCACCTCCTTTTCTGAAAGTTTTTATTTAAAACTAATTTAGAGAATCTGCAAAGCTATTTGCCCTGTATGTAACCCGCTGTATTGTAAGTTAAGAAAGATTGCAAGAGCTTAATTTATGCAGGAAAATTAGATGCTAGTCAGAAACTAGAAATTTGATGTCCAAACTGATTATTCTGCCTTTCAGTATATTTCATGTTGAAGAGCTCACGTGACTTGGCAATGTGCAGTTGCAGCTCAGAAAGCCAAGCGTATGCTGAGCTGCATCAAAAAATGAGTGTGACCACCAAATTCAGGGAGGTGATTCTCCCCCTCTATTCTGCTTTCATGAGACCCCACCTGCAGTACTGTGTTCAGCTCTGGGGTCCCCAACATAAGAGGGACATGGAGCTGTTGGAGCGAGTCCAGAGGAGGCCACAAAGATGATCAGAGAGCTGGAGCACCTCTGCTATAAAGACAGGCTGAGAGAGTTGGGGCTGTTCAGCCTAGAGAAGGCTCGGGGGGGACTTTAGAGAGCAGCCTTCCAGTACCTAAAGGGGGCCTGTAATAGAGCTGGAGAGGAACATTTCACAAGGGCCTGTAGAGGTAGGAAAAGGGGGAATGGCTTTAACTAAAAGAGTGTGGATTTAGACCAGGTAATAGGAAGACTGTCTTCATTGTGGGGATGGGGAGACACTGGAACAGGTTGCTGGGAGAACCTGTAGCTGCCCCATCCTTGGAAGTGTCCAAGGCCAGGCTTCACGGGCCTTTGAGCAATGTGGTCTAGTGGAAGGTGTCCCTGTCTGTGGTGGGGGGCTTGGAACTAGATGATCTTTCGGGTCTCTTCCAGATAGTGCAATAGAAGTGAGGTTCTTGTGAATATTCCTATGAGAAGTTAGAGTTGATTTCCTCTCCCCCGTTTTTATTGTTTTTCCCCTCTTTTTAGTGTCATTCAGGTAAAGATGCTATATACCGCAGCATCTAGTGTTTGGTGTCTTTGCTTTTTGCTTCAATTTTAGTGTATAATGTAGATTCTACTATACTTTTCAGTATTTAGAATGTCAAAAAATTGGAGTAGAAGGTTTGGTGAGTGCCTTCAACATTCTTAGGATAACAAAGTATAAACTATGAGGCCCAACTAACTTGATACTGGAATGTGAGGAGGAAATATCCAAATAAATAGTTGTTGTTTGGCAATAAATGTTTGCTAAGAATCACTTCTCCCAAATTTCACAATTATGCCTGCAACAGAAATACATGCTGACCCTTTCACGACATTGATTTACTCAAAATACAAGACAGATTTTCTTCATGGTGTTTGTCGTTTATGGTGTACAGGTCAGTGGTGATATGCAGAAATGAAGAGCAAATGGTGCTGGAATACGTTCTTAAGTGTGTATTAATCAAAGACTTGGCATATCTCTCCCCCCCCCTCTTTTTCCTTCACTTGCAGCTTCTCTGAAGCCCATGTGTGACTGTGCATTATTTGATTCTTATTCTGAGCCATTGCCAGGCAGTCAGCAGACTCGGGACTTCAGTCGGTCAGAGGTAAGGAGGCATGAGCAGAACAGTTCTCTTGCAGGGCACAGAGGATTAGCCCAGCTTCACAGTGACTGTGGTATGGCTAGCAGCAGATCTGCGAGTCTCTGAGGGGATTTTAGGAGTCTCCAGGTTTCCCATTAAGCCATCTTGAACCCCTCTCAACAGTTTCTGAAGTGTGTGGAAAGGGCTGACACACTTTTTAAAAGACACTCTTTATAGTGTAAGGAGTTACCATGCAAGGATCTAGGTAATAATTGTAAGGAGCTGGGAAGAGTTTTTTGAGAGAAGAATGTGGATCCACCATAGCAGTATCACAACAGATACAAGCCTTATAATGGAAGACTGTTGCAAGCAAAGCTATATTGAGAAGAGTTTATCACTGAGGTTAAAACTCGAAACTTCAGAGATCCTGTATAGCTGAACTAAACATGGCCACTGAGTTGTACCTGGATGTTGCTGCTCTGTATATATACACTGTGGGATTTACGGATTTAGTACTTAAGGTAGTCGATCAAATGGCAGACTGACTGCAAGAATGGGCCCTTCTGATGCTGTTTACAAGTTAAAAAGATATAAATATAATTTATAATTAAATTATATTAAAATAGGTCTAAATATATATTTTTTCCAAGTAAAGCTTCAGTTTATGTAACTTCTTGAGTTCAGAATCTACTTCAGTATCTCTGTGGCCCAGGGAGCTTTTGTTGTTTTTTTTGTTAGGATACTGTCTTCACAAGTGACTACCCATATATGCAAATTAGTATTTGGCTATTGCAGAGTTGTGAGGAAATTTGCTCTTTAGTAGCACAGGACTGTGAGATTAGAAAGTTCTTTTATACATTTCAGAAGGCTCAGAAATCTTGCTTTCAGAGTTGTGTTTCTTACAAATAAAATATCATTTCAGTAACCTAACCAATACAATTTTATAATCTTATTAAATGTCTGGTTTTTAGGCTTGCTATTGTTCGTGGTCCTTAAATGTCTGTGCAGAGTAAGGATAAATCTAGAAGGAGATGACTTCCTGAGAAATGAAATTGTATGGTTTTTTGATTTTTAAATTTTTCTGCTGCAGTGGAGATGATAATAGTAGGAATATTACTGTAATAATTAAACATGCAGAAGGTATACAGCACAAAATGTAAAAAACCCCAAACAAGCAACAAATTCCATTTTATGTTTAATTTTTAATTCAATTTTCAACAGTTAAGCTTTCAGACCTCCTCTGCCTTATCCCTGAGCTTTCCTCCTGAGACATTCTCACCGTAACGGCCAATAATTTGTAGATTACTATGCTGCCTTCGCAGTCAGATAAAGTTCTTGGGGGAATAGCGAGATTTTCTGTTCCATTCCTAGGTTTTGCAGGGTGGCAGGATGTTCTGCAAAATCAGAGTTTTTTGTGGCTAGGTTGAAAATGAAGAACCTGCAGTATGATTGCCTGCTGGCTAAGCACAGACAGTAGTTCCTGGCTATCTCACAACTGTTTGACTAGGTTTGTTCCATTTCTTCACTATCTGGGCCCTAGGCATACAGGACAAAGTTCTTTGTTTCAAGGCCTTGTTATTTTGCTCCTTGTTATCCAAGATTAATGGACTATAAGATCTTTTCTCAAAACTGTTTTGAGAATGACTTGACTTAGATTTTTTGTTTTGTTCCACTGATATTTTTATGTTCAGAATTAATACATGGAATGAATATCATTTAGAAGATCAATAATCCATCTCCCTGTGTTAAGTGCAGTAATTCACTGCTGGAATTTAATTTGTAGCTCAGCTACTTGGAGAAATATAGTTTAGATACTTGATCACTACATTAAAAATATTGTATTATCAATGCAATCAGTTATCCATTATCTCCATGTTTCTTTTCACCTATCATCCATTCAGGCTGCTTCATTTCATTTCAGAAGACCATTTTTACTGTGACTGCTGCACTACAGTACTGCAGTAGAGTAAGAACAGTTCTTGAATGCATCCATAAAGAAAATAATAGCAGGAGACTGGCTATCTGAACACTAGGCTTCGTTAAACTTGCAAAACCTGCAAAGACTCCTAATGTTATACTCAGGAATGACAAGGGTGACTATTTTTTCTTGACCAAGGAGGTTTTGTCGTCCCATTTGTTTTTTTCTCAAGTTTCTGTCTCCCACTCTGGTTCTGGTCCTCTTCTTTTTTTTCTTTTCTTTTTTTCCCCCTCCATTCCTTTGGCTCTTTTCCACAAGCTTTCTCACTGCCAAAAGCTTAAAGATAAAACACAAGATTTCACACTATATGCATATAACGACTGGCTGGGGTTGCTCTAAGCTCCCTCAGAAATGTCATGTTCACAGTTCACTTAAAGTTGTGAGAGTCATTCTGTTGATTCAAGCATTTACTGATTTAGGCCTTTAGTCTGACACTCTTTAGAGTGTCGGGGCTAGCTGTGGATGTGAACTGTTTTGTCCATACATTTTCAGAGTCCTCAAGCCATATTTTTGCTGTGTTGCTTCCTCAGAAACATTAGGAAATCCTACATGCCACTTCATAAAACAGATATCATAGACGTTTACTCTGGACTTTGCCTTCTTGAATTACTGACTTGAGAATTTTTTGGTTTTGTTTTGTTTTTTTAATGTCTACAAAATCTGTTTCTTATTTTTTTAGGCCCAATCTTTTCCCTGGGAGCAAAACCGGCATCATTCAATATTTAGAGAAGCTTGAGGTTTATGATGTTTGCCTTATGGCTGTTTTGGTTGCAGAGGGTATCCTTGTTCTTAGGGGTAATAGCGGTAGAATTTGTTCCTAGTTCCATTTTGCGAGTTAGGCAGCAGAAGTTACAAGAACAACAAATGCCTGTAAGTCACTACTGAAATAAAGAAAAAATAAGGAATAAGACTGGGGAGAAGTTCCCCATTTTCCAATCTGAGTCCTGAATGGGCCTTCAACAGACATGCTAATGAAATTTGGTTTTCCCAACTTAATGACTGCATGTTGAAAGAAAAGAGTAGTTGAAGGATTTGCCACCTCAGCCTGGAAGGCATTAAATGCAGGACTATTGGGTTCTGGAGTTTTGTCTAGGGAGATTGGATTTTGGGAAGGGGCTAGAGAAGGTTTCTTCAACCCTAACATGGATGTGACATCCGAGGAGAAAACACAGAATGACATTTCTCTGTTGGGAGAAGCTTCTCCTTGCATATAGTCCTTAACTCCTTGTAATTCATTGTGGAAGTGCTTTGCTAACTAATTTCAGGTATGGAACTGATGTACTTTAAAAAGCAGAGTTATATTGTCTTTCTGTAGGTTCTCTATGCTTCTTCAATCTGACAAAGCAAATCATGGTGCAAAAGAGATTATCACCTTGATTTGTGTTAACATGTATTCATAAATATTTGACTGTGGAAATGTGTGAGTTCTACCAGTCAGTATAATAAATATATCTTCTTTCTTTCAGAAGACATCAGCTGAAGAGATACCTGATAACTCTGGCCTGTTACAAGATGGAAAGAAAGATGACAAAGAAGGTATTCTAATAAATATATTTTTTCCCTGTTAAGGGTTAAATTCTGTGTGTTTTTAGTAATCCCATATATTTGCTGATAGAAGCAATGGTATGTTTAATTTCTAAAATGGCTATGTGTTGCTGTAGGTTAAAGAGACAACTTATTGGTAGCAGCTGAGTTGAAGATGAATGAATGAGTTTGCTTCAAAATTGGTTTTATCATATAATGATATGAAACGCACCTTCTAAAATAAGTCTAGTCTGAAGGCAATTAAGGATGCAATTTTTATTTTAATAAAGTTGTAACTGTTGTTTTCAGGAATTTTGTGAGTTCCAAACATTGTGCCAAGTCTTGGATCCCCCTTTTTGCAGGAAATAGCAACACCTAAAAATTAGTTTTTATTCCTATTAAAAAAAACTCCAAACACAAACCAACCAAAAAACCCCCAAAACCTAACAACCCCCCCAAAGAAACAAACACCCCCCCCCAAAAAAAAAAACTGAAACAAAAAACCAAACCAACCAACCAACCAACCAAAACCAAACCCCAAACCAAAAAAAAAACCACCCCACCAACCGGTATTTTCTTGCAAAACAGAAGTTTTGGATAAACTGGATTGAATATACTTGATTAATTTACTTCGCTTAAAATCCATCAGCAACAAGCCATGTGGAATTGAAGTGATCTATTCCACTCAGTAGCTTCCAGGGCTTATGAAATTGTCAGTGGATCATCACCCAATGAATTCATTCCCTTTTACATTTTCTTTAGCTAACATTTCAGGTTCTCACTTGCTGTCCCTCAGTTGTACAAACAAAACAGTTGTGGGTATTTTGCTGCCTGATTCTCAGAACTGTGAATTATACATTAAATAAAAAAAAATATAAGAAAATAAAATTTTGACCTCCCAGCTGTCCATATGTTAAGTCTGCATCAGAGCTGTGCGACCAGGTAGTCCACATTCCTAAATCACCTCCACATTCAAGTGTGTCAGTGTTTGTCAGAGTCCCAGTGTCCCTGGTTTAAAGAAGGGTTGTCAGAGTTGATGGGTGTTTGTAAAACATTTTGACAAGTCAAGGTATTTCAAGAAAGTAATGTTTTCTTGACAAGGTTTGTTTTGTTGTAAAATTCATAATGAACCAGAGCAGGACTTGGAACCTTGAAGGTTTTTGCCTTGAAGTGTCTAGGGAAGGCTTACTTTTTATTAAGGGAATTTTTTTTCTTCCCTGTTTAGCTGAAGAACTGCTTTGTTTTTCATAGCCGACATGTTCAGTCAGATGAGAACCTGGTTTGGTACATGCAGTCCTTCAGGGCTGAAGGTTTGCTGTATCTGTGACACAGATTCCTACCTTTTCAGGCAAAGAACAAGTACTCTTGTTCTACCATTTATTGCTATTCTGACAAATGTAAGAGTAGATTGCTCCCCTGACTGAGGAAATGTCCCCAGAAGCCAAGAACCTGTAGTTCAGGACTGTCGAAGCAAATTCTTCTGCATTTTCAAAACTGTACATGTCAATTAGCTCCACTGTCAGGTTATAATACAGTTAAATGTGGAAGATAATGTAAATAGGATTGCATCACAAGAACCAGACTTTTCCCATGTGTTTTATTTGATAAAGGCAGATGGATATGAGGGACTTCAGTCCAAGTGGTCATTTATATTACTGTAGATTACAGTACATTAAAACATGCTATAATGAATTAAGGACACCTGAGTAAAGTAATTAAAAAAGGATGTGTAGGCATCAGTGGAAGGGAAATAAGCACAAAGATTGGGATTTCCTGAATTTTGAGCCCAGCTTTCTTGGTGCCCTGTGAGATTCCTGGCTGGTGAGTTGCCAGCAGTTGGTCCTTCCTATGCCTTGGCTTTCCAGGTTTGTAACCTGGGAAAGATGAGTCCCAGCTCTACCAAGTGTCCCCAGCTTCTGCCTCTGTGAGAGTATTCCATCTCTAAAACAGAAATCATCCTTGATTTTAGGCACTCAAACCCCCAAATTCTCAAAATTTGAGATTATTTGGATACTTGGGCATAGGCCTTTCTGTTCCTGACTTTTGTACGCTGAAAATTGTTACTTTTTTAAGTGCTTGGGTGTTCTGAGGGCATTTGGCTACTGTTTGGTGCTATTAGATGTTCTAATACTGGTTTAGATGCTCCCTTCTCAGAGCTGATACCTGTAGATTTTACCTGCGCATACTTAAAGTAATTCTCATTGTTTTGCTTTTTTCATGAAGCTCTTAAAGTGAACACTGTTCTCAAAACGATACCAAAGGAATTTCAGCACTTGACTGTGAAAACAGGTAAGAAGAAAAAGATTTCATGGTTTACTTACATTAGAATTTTGATATTTTTATATCACAGCCTAAATTAGTGTAATTTCATTAATTTTATTAAGATAATTTTGCTTTTATGCTATTTTACTGCTGAAATTAGCTTCTACTTCAGAATGACTACTACGTGCAAGATAAATATTGAATAGTACTTCAGAATGTCAGAGGCTTTCTCGTTTCCTTTGGGTTCTTCATATATGGGAAATATTTATAACATATTTTTTAAGGAGTCTGAAGCTTTTCTGTGCTACAAAGAATATGGAAGAGCATGAACGTCGTACTTAGTAAGACTTCTTCTAAAGTGCAGAATAACTACGCAGTGTTTCAACAACCATCTGAGATGGTCTGGGTTTTTTTTGTGAGGACTGAGCATTCATATTTTCTGTCAAGAAGTTTAAGGGTAACACTGACATTGAGGCATTTACAGCACTGATGCAGGCTTTTGATTTGGAGGGGGTGTTTCTATGTTGAAACCGTCCACGATTTTTCTTTCTTCAACTCCAGCATACACTCCTTGTTCCTATCGTACTGTAAAATGTAATTTCTGAAACAGCATATGACAGAATTACTTAGCTGCTCCAGAAACCTTGAGTGTGTTCAGTTTGGTTCATCAGACCTCCCTTACCTTTGTCACTGGTAATCTCTCCTAGAGTGGTAAGAGTATTCACAAGCCCTCCCTGCTCCCAGTCAAGCTAAAATCTGGACTTGCTTTCTTTTTTCCTTTGCATAAATGTTTTTACTTGTAAAGATATCCTTGGTTAAGAAAACTGACCCCACATGTCTGTCACAGCAATTTTGTCTTATAGTTAGATTTCTTCATGACTGCTCCACAGCTGCATGCTTCATTTCCCAACTCTTTTTGTTTTCCTGGCTTCTTCCCAAACACTTGGCAGTTGCCAGATTTGTTATCTTCAGCTCCTATTCTCAAATGATTGCTGCTTCTCCTTCACACACACACTCTTACACTTCCTTCTCAGAGGGAGAGGAGGGTGGTTGTTAAGACTTTCAGTTCTGTTCTCCTTCCCCCCGCAGTTGTACTCAGAGCACCCTGGGGAGTTTTATTTTCAGTTCAGCAATTCCATTTTAGATTCACTTAAGGAAAAAAAACAACAAACCATACTATTACCTGAACATCTCCTTTGCCACCAACTTCTTTTCCCCATGTCCTTTATTTCATAGTCAAGGAGGTCATCCCAATGCTTGTGTGCTCCTCCAGCAGTGTTGCTGTGTTTCTGTACCAATGAAGATGGTGGCAGAGTTTCACCCCATCATCATGACTTCCATCACTGTAGGGGTTTCGCCCTTGGTGTCCTGCATATTGAGGGTTTGAGCAAGCACATTCACAGGCTATGTGATGCAGTTGAGGCTAGGAGTAAAAATGGTTATCCATCCAATGGGCCTGATACAGCACAGTAATTGAGGAGCTATTTCAGAACTGGTCACCATTCTGAAAGGTCATTGTCATCATCGTCATCATTCACCCACCTTCAGGATAAAAACTCCATTGGGATGAAGCAGGAGAAATTCTACATCCTCCTTTAGTTATTCATTTGGACTGTTTATATAAATGATGTAATTTATGCAAAGATGATACTGTCATGCTTCATTATGAGAGTTTTCTTTGCCATCTGGAGGACTAGAAGTTTGAAATCAGGAAAATCTTTGTATGCTCAGCATCTCCAAATATCTGGTCAGTTTACGTAGGCTCTTAAGTGCAAGATCATTGTTGGCCTTATGATTGAGGTTGAGGTCCAAATGTGCAAGAGTTTAGACTGTAGTTTTCTGCCTAGGCCACCACTAAGAGTTGAGTCAGTGGAGGGGATTTAGACTAGTGAGGAATTCTTTGGGATTTTTTTTTTTTCTTAGCCATGTGGCATATTTGTACCTTTTATGGTAAAATTTTCCACATCTTCAGCCTGTAAAGCAAGGTGGCACATGAGGCTGAGTGTAACGTATTACGCTGAGTGTAACGTATTAGGCTGCAGTTGAAAGTACTGAATTAGCATCCTTTGGAATGTTAAAATGAAGTTGCATTGGAAAAAGGCCGTGGGAGCAATTAAACACCCAAAACTGGAAGCTTCACACTCTTCTGTGAATAAATAAATAAGAGTTCATGATCGTCTATAACTTTAATTATAGCAGACCAAGCTGTTCAGTTCATCAGGCTCTATTACTCCAGGAATCGTACAAACTTCTAAGTAATAGATGTAATTAATTTTCTCAACAGCTTTAACTTTTTATCAGTTCCATGTAAGCTAGGCTTGTGTATCCATTGCTGTAGAAATACGGAAGACTCATGAACTGAATAGTTTTGTATCATCTTGAATGATTATGTCACGTATGTCAATAAACCAAACACAAAGTCCACACAGACTGAGTGTACCAAAGTAACTGCACTTTTCTGGAAATTCTGCCACAGTGATTTGTACGTCCTAATAATGAACTACCTGTTTTATAATATTCTTTTTTATAGTATACTCCTACTTTTGAAAGGTAAAGCTCAGTCTGGGTGTTGTTTATTGTAACCTTGGAGGTCCTGATTTTTCAAAAGCTTAAAAGAAAATCCTTGGCAGTAGTATTCTATTGCTATCATTTTTATTAGTAGTCATTTTGGGATTCTCTTTTCTTTGTGTGCTTTCCTGTTTACCTTGACAAGATGTCCTTGGAGAGTTAGAATGTCAGTTCCACCAGCAGGTTTTTAGAGGAAAGGCTTTCTAAAAGAAGTATGAAGAGAATTACTGTCTCCATAAAAGAAGGAAAACTCGAAGGTTCTTAAACATTGCTTAGCTTGTAAAGGATTTATGCTTCCTATTTCTAAGTGGCATATATTTAATAATTGTGCATGTAATTAAATAATCATCACTTTCAGCATTGGAAAAATTAGGTCATATGGCTGTAGGGAAGCGGTGTCTAAAGTTGTATTCTGGGAGTTTGACAGAGAGAAGGATTATCACCACTGCGTATTTTAATAATAATTCCCTCTCCCTGCTTTAGTTGCCAGGAAGAGTTTGTTGCACAGACATCTGGAATGACTGTGCACCAGTTTGGTGGTGACAGTAATCTACTAGAACTTGGTTTGTAAGTGGTCCTTTATGTCACTGCCAGCTACATTTGGGTTTATTCCATCGAAAGCACCAACTAGCAGTGCGTGACCTTAAAAGCGGTTTCTGTTATGAAGAAACTGTGTGGCTGTACATGTGCCATATGCTGCTGCTTGTCTTCTGTGAGCTTAAAGCCTCCTGTGGAAGGTCTATGCCGTAGTACAGTGCAAGCTATTAAAAAGTCAGTATTTGCCAGAGGCTACCACAGGTAGCTTCTGCTTCATGTTTTGAAGGATATGCCGTATTTCAGGTAGTGCTGTGTAGTAGCTGGTGATAAACATCTGACTTGGAAGTAGGCATATATCTGAAGGAAGCTAGAAACTCTTGAGAATTATGCGTTTTGTTTTGTTTTGTTTTTTTCTCCAACCTACTTAGTTCTCTTTAAGTGTTGTGGCTTAGTTGGGAGAATAATACGAAAAGTACAGGGATTCACTTTGTATGTGCATTGGGATTATTGGTCCTACTGTAGTACTTTGAGGATATCACAGTGGGCTGAATGTGAAAGCAATCACAGATACGTTTTCTCAAAATGATCTGATGTTAGTAAAAGTCACAAAAAGACAATGTAAACCAAGGAACAGCCTCAAGGAATTACCCAGAGAAGATAGTCAGCACTGTCGTTTTCCTCTTATGTGAAACCTGTGTGTGGCAACATGTTTGCAATTCATCCAAATAAAAGAAACTGATTTTCACATTGATAGAAATGTGGTTTATCAACACTTGGCCTGTAAAGCTTTCTACCTTCAAGTATCTTTCCTTCCACACGTCAAAGTAGTCTCAACCTGATGTGTTTTGTTATGGGTGATAAGATGCATATTTATATTAATTAAAGTATTTAGGAAGGACATAAAACTTTGTGCTTTGGGAAGCAGAACAACTGATAGATATCTAGCTAGGAGGAAGATGTTTTCTGTGGAAAGTTTATGCTATTCCTTATGTTGCTTTGTCACAACTATGTCCAGGAGCACAGGCCAGCTGTCAAGACCTATTGCTTTACCTGTGTCTGGTAACCAAATTAAAAGGTGAAGCTCTGACCACATGTGGGCTTTTGCATTCTTAGGACATCCAAACACTACAAAAACAAAGGGGAAGGAGAAGCAAAAATTGCTCATGTGAGATGAGCACACTCTCACATCCACATTTGTAACACTCTCAGTTTTAACAAAGACTGATTCTGCAGCTAAAAGTTTTTATTTTAAATATGATGTTTGAGTGATTCTCTTTTCTGTTCCAGCCACTCAGGAATCTAATGCACTTAAAGCCAGACCACGATCCAGGTACTGCTTTCATTTCTATTTCAGAACAAGATATACGTTCCTCTGGTGTTAGATGCAAGGCATAAGAACCGGTGTCACATTTTTGACTTTTTTTTTTTGTATATTTAATTGATGGTGTGCTGAAAGTACAGCTCAGACCAGTCAGGTTTACCAGGAGGGGTCTGTAACTACAGACCCTACATAAGTACTGTCCTTGGGCCCTGTGGTCTCCGGTCATAAGGCACTAGGGCATTTGCCTCTCTGACCAGCCCTGCTGCCTTGTCAGGGTGGTGACTGCCTCCAGCCCAGCCCCAGGGGCGCTGGGGAGGGACAGTGGGGATCATCCCATCACAGGGAATGTTTTAGCAAGTTTGTGCTGTGAAACCTACACAGTGGTTGCATATGGAGGGAGACACTGCATGCTCCCATAGAAACAACAATAGTAGCTCAGCACTCAGATGTGGGGGAGTGAATCCTTTCATTGGTGTGCATGTACCTGACTATGGCTAGTTGCTGTGTGATGGAAAGGCTAATAAGCTTACACTGTTGCGTGCTAGAAATGATGTATGCTGAAGTTGGATATTTAAAAGTAAAGGGAAACCTGTGCCAGAAAATACTGTGTATAAATGGATTATGTGTTGGGTTTGGAGTTCACCATTCCCGTATGCAGCCATATGGTTCCTTTAAAACTTTTGGTTTAGGTGCTAATTAGAGGGTTTCATTTTTTATTCTTTTGTTTCCTGTTAATGAGAGTATAATCAGGAGCTCCCTCCTTACAAAGCCTCCTAATAGGACAGAATCAGCTATAAGCATGATGGAAGAAGACTGAAATGCTCTCTTCTTAGGACCTACATCCAGGCAGGCTGAACTGCCTTGTGTGCCAGTTTTCTCTTGCTAGCCAAAGCTTTCTAGTTTTCATACTGTTCTAAATTTCCTTGCTGTGTTAGAGAATCATAAATTGTAAATATGAGAAAAAGGTTTAAAAAAGTATTTTATGCAAAAATTTATAAAATAGCAAATGCTTAAACAAGTTGGAAAACAGTCACTTGAATGTGACTACTGTATCATATCTGTCTCACATCTGACTATGTGTCACTGCTTCAGTGCAGAACTTGAGACTAAAGGTTCCTGAGCACATCTTTGAATTCAGACCTTCTGCTGCACTTGTCCTGCATAGCCTGGAGGGCTCTATAGACTTGAGAGTCTCTGTCTTCAGGTGTCCCTGACCACCAGAGGCTACAATTTGAGTCTGTTACAGCTCTCAGCTCTGGAGAGATTCATGGCTTTCTAGCCTAAGCTGTGTAGATTCTTAGGCTGTTGACTTAACTAGCTTCCAGATGTCAAGTCTGCCTGCTGCAACAATTCACTGTCACAGGGCTCTGTGTTGGCACTGTTGGGTTGGCATATTTTTGCCTGATAGCTGCTACCTTACTTGATCTTTTAAAAAGCTTTAAGGATCTCAGACTATTAAGTTGCACAATTTTAATGCAAATAAAATACACACTGCATAATATGGAAAGTAGAAGTATAAAACCTTAAGATCTTGATTGAAAGCTTTTCCATTTATTTCAGGGGGGTTAGTTAGGTTTGATCTGATAAGCCTATGGAATTCAAAACTCTACCAAGACAAAAAAATCATCATCAGTAGAGGTTCTTGTGTCACATGTAAAATTTGAAGCAATAACGTCTTTCAGTCCTGTATTTATTAAAGTTTATATCAGAAGCATAGGATGAGCATTGCCAAATGTCTGTCCTGCTGAAGAGCTGTTTTCTAACAACAGACTGTTCGGAAAAATAAAAATAAATAAATAATTAAAAAAAAAAAGATCAGTTTCCCATTAGTGAGAGTTATTTCTGTTGTACTCAAATGTGTTTTTGGTCTTGCCTGGCATGCGTAATGTGTTATAGTAAGTGTAATATCTCACGTTGTCAATGCTCATTTTGAACAAAGCTCTCAGTCTCACAGAAAAAACTGTAACTACAACAGCTGAAAAATATTGGACACTGTTCAGCAAAATCAAAATTCTTAGCAAAAGTACTGCATTGGGATTGATGTGATGCGGGAAGGCCTGGAAAGAGACAATGAGTCATGTATTTTATCAGTTATGGTCACTTTGGAGCCATTTGGTTTTTCTGGATTTTGTGGAGTTTGGTGTCTTAGCAAAAAAATTATTTTAAATATTAGAATATTGTAAATGACAGAATGCGTACTTGCAAGAGGTAGGCTGAAAGTATACATGTAGAAACACTATCCTTACAGTTGGGAAAGGCAGCAGAAACTCCAAGTGGCAGCAGTAATTTTACTCAGTTTTATTCAAAGTAGTTGCTACAATTATCCTGTTGACAGTTAAAGTTGGGTAAGAAGGCCTGAAGCTGTGACATAAAAGGCCTTAAAATAATATTAGCCCTGTGAGCATAACTTGTTCCTTTCTCCAGATGCGTAGGTCCCTCTGTTGCTAAATTACAAGTGTCTTAGTACAAGTGGGAGCTTCTAGTCATTAGGGCAAGGAATTTCCACCATGAACCTGAGTTCTGCTCACTGTATTTTTAGGTACTATTCACTGTAGTTGTTTAAAATTAATTTCTGAAATAAAATAAGTTTCTGCCTTTCACGCCCTCTGTTTTTCCTTAGGTCTTACTCTAGTACATCAATAGAAGATGCCATGAAAAAGGGAGAAGAACCCCCTACTCCACCTCCAAGGCCACAGAAATCCCATTCCAGAGCTTCCTCTTTGGATCTGAACAAAATATTTCAACAAAACACACAAGGTAATGTTTGCTTTCTTTCCCCATTTTGAGACCATTTAGATTAGTTACGTACTTGGCAACTTGATCTGTTTGCACAAATGCTTGACAGTATGCATGTATGCTCGCCTTTGCTATAGACATTAATATGCTACAGAACAGAAGTAGTTGCACTTTCTTGCATTACATTGCCATTGAGGGGGGAAAAAATCACTTTTGCTATAATTAAGGTGATTAGAATGTTTTCTGACACAATAATGGGAAGTTTAACATATGGTAGTCTGTCATCACTGACTCTTTATATCTAGTTTGGCTGTTTAGACAACTCTCATCAGTAGCTACACTATATTTGATTTTTATTACTTTTTTTTTTTTTGGGTTCAGAAGCTGGAAGAAACCCCTTAGTGTTTAAACTGGGAGAAAAGTGAGTGAACATTTTTGATGTTAAAAGTCTATTGCATGGGGACAGTCAGAAACCATTCTTTTAGTAAAAAGAAAGGGTAATTTCTTTTGACATGGGTGCATATTGAGGAGAGAGAAAGAAGATGTGGAATAGCAGCTGGAATGAACTGAAAGAAAATGGCTTTCCAGCACATTAGTGTTTGCGTGTTCCTCTTGCCTTGCACAGGGAGCAGTGTGGAAAGAGGAGCTTTCTGTTCAGGGTAGCAGTCATCCAGCATCACTGTGCTTTAGCAGTGTCCTTGAACTAGACCAGAGCTGTATGTGGTGCAGACCAATCATCTGACTCAAAGACTAGGTTAAACACTGTCATGTTTATGCTTCAGAAGAAAGCTGATGTTTGACTGTGTCAAGGAATGTTTTAACTGCGCTCTCTAATGTGGTTGTTGGAGAGGAGTTTCACCTCTTGCTGTATGGGCCTTTTTTGTGCAAACGCCAAAGAGAATTCAAGAATCCTGTTCTGAGGAGTAGGAGTCCTGTGCTAAGGAATAAAAAAATAAACTACTTCGTTTTTTCTTTCTTTTTTATTTCCTCCTCCTCCCCCCCCCCCGCTCCCCCACCTTACACAGAGAAGCAATTCCTGATCTTTGACTGTGGTTCATGTTGAGAGATCTACTGCCTCCAATTTTGGTTTCATTTATATATCAAAATAAAACCCCAGAGAGAGCCAAGGACACATTTTCTAAGGCAGTAAATACTCTCAGAATCCAGATAAAAAGTATAATTGGAAGTAAGTAAACTTGGATTTAAGTTTCTCTTGGAACACAAATGAAAGGAGAATCTAAATTATCAAAGAAGTAATTCTGTGAATGAATTCTTACTTTTGAAATGGATTATTTTGAAAGCTATCATTACTTCAGAAGTAACATAATATTTTTTTCTGGGCAACAGAAACAAGCTGACAGTGTTAGAGTGAGTGCAGAAACGGATAACTTGTCTTATCAATACTTTTTGGAGAGTTTCCTTACAGGAAATGGGACAATTAAGTAAGGAGAGGCAGTTGATTGCTTGCAAAAAAAGTGCTTTGGTCACCCTAAGACTGTTCATCATAGTAGGCTGAAATTTATAATTGGAACAAAACTTGGTTCTAGGTTTACAACTGAAGTATAGTGTGCTACCAGATTGCAGAAATGTGGAAGACCTCCCAGAGGCTCAGCTTCTTCCTGTGCTTTCAGGGTGCTGGCTTTTATTTTTTTGCTCTCTTGAATGTTCCCTGATGGCAATGCTAAATATTTGTGGTGGTTATCTTCCTCTAATGGAGCTGTTCTATTTTGTGTCAAAAATGTAAATACTTGTTGTGAAAGATAAGGAGGAATTTGTAGTCTTGGAGGATTTACAGAAGAACTTGTGAAACAATTTGTAGCCCACCCTGAAGAAGGGTTCTAGGTCAAGGAAACGTGAATTGTCAAGAGGGAATTAAATCAATCCATCCCAGTGTGCCCAGGTGCCATGGAGTATTTACCTTGCTCTGTTTTGAAGTAAGATGTCAGCACTGGAAGTCCTATTTTCAGAAACATATGCACGTTCTTTCCTGTCACTAAGCCCTGAATAGCTGTTCTGTTAACATCCTATTGATAATGGGTTTTTATATAGCTGTTTGCTTTTCTTCCCTTGTTTTGATCATCTCTACTTTTTTCTCATCATTTTCCCTACTGATTTTGCTTCTTAGTTAGAAATTCCAGTCTCATCACTTTCAGATACCTTTTTCACCTAGGGACAGTTCTTCCTCAGGGAGTGGTCATTGTTTCAGAGCCAGTCTCTTTACTGAGTGCACTTTGCACTTTCTAAAAAGGCAGTTTGAAGGAAGACATAGATTAAGCACAAACTGCCTTGCCAAAAAGGAAGTGTGTTTGTGTGAAGTAAATTGCACGCATTTGTATAATAACAAGCTGTATTCTTACTTCTGCTGACAGTATAAAAAACAGAATAGTTTCCATCTGCCATCAGAAGATACAGATTTATAATATAGATCATGTGGCGGCAATGTACATTTCTTGGCTATTGGTATAATACAGCCTGGCATAAGCATAAAACCTGATGTGTTTCTGTCCACAGGTCAGTTGATTATTTTCTGTCCCAATGTACTCTAGACTGAATTTTGGCTTTATGCTTTCTCCCTGTTTTCCTTCCTTTCTAGGTTTTCAAAAATAGTCTCACTGTCACAGCTGAACAAGAAAAAATAGCTGTAACAACTATCTCTTCCAGCACCACTGTGTTGCCTAGTGTCAGTAGAGAAAACGAGACTATAAAATCCACCATTTAAATAGTTTTCGGAGTATAACCAACATGATTAGAATAATCACATTTCGGTACATTTGTTTGTGGCCTGCTAATTCTTGTTCAAAAATAAATCTGATTTTAGGAGTTTGGTGGATAATGTTCTCCCACACCTATGAGGAGTGCTCAGTAGTACTGAGTTTTATTTTCAGTTCCTTATTGGTCGTGTTTATCCATAGGTATCAGTTCTTCAATTGCAAAGCGGTTTGAATTTAATTGTAAAGTCATTTGAAGCTTTTTTCTGTCTATTCCATTTTTAAAGGGCAGAAAAAGAAAAATCTCTTTTCTTGAAGTAAGTTCAGCCAAAGACTGTGGCAGATTCTCGTTGCATGCACTGGTATTTTTGGAAGGGTATTTTTGTTTGGTTTTATTTATTGTTGGTATATCATGTTTGCCACAATCTTATGATTCCACTCTCCTGGCAACTGTGAACACAGATGAAAAGACTATCTGAGCTCCAGAGCCCCTAACCACCTCTCCCAGGGCTCTACTATCTATATGTTCCCCAGGCTACTACTATCTATATCCCTAGCACCCACATGTATCACTAGAAGTGGGTAACAGTCAGTGGGACTTACTAGAGCAGGCAGCCTCTCTGCCACATCCCTGATCCGTGCCCCTGGTAGGCAACACACCGGCCTTGAGACCGGGTCAGGCCAACAGATGGGTGCCTCTGTCCCTTTCAAAGTAGAGTCCCCTACTACTTCAACCCGCCACTTTTTCCTGGCAGCACCAGTAGAGATCTTCTTTACCAGTGCACCAGCCGGCTTGTTTCTGGTGCAAGTGCGTTTCCTCATGAGCCCTCTGCAGAAAGCAAAGCAGTTCTGGGTGGGGACAACAGATTTAGGAGGAAGTCCCTTGCTTTTAATTGTCCTCTTCCTGCTTTTTTTTTTTTTTTTTTTTTGGTCACTAATTCCCAGCTTCCTGGGTTAACTGCCTCCTTCTTTCCTTCATGAGCTAGAGGGGAAGCTTGAGGCTCCTGCACAGTTTGGGCCTGGAGCAAGCATTCCTGCTTCCTCTCAGCTTCCCTGACGTCTTGCAGCCCATTAATAGCATCCCGCAGCTCAACCCCTGCTGCAGGAGGACCTCCACCAGGGAGCACCCAGTGCAGCCCTGCCCATTGTGTACCTTTCCCTCACCAGACCAGTGCAGGCACTCTCTACACCCCGAGCTCTGCACTGCAGCCTCTCCTCTCATCGGCTCTGTCTGGGTGCCTACGATGGCTGCTGTTGGGGCAGCCAGAGCAGAGCTCCCAAACCAAGCCCTGGTCATACGGCGAGGGCTCACCATCCCGCGCGGCGAGCTCTCACCATCCCGCGCGAACTGCCTCACCGCGCTCATGGTCGCTCGCGCTCCCTGGGGCAGGTTTTTAACCAATCAGGGCTAGCGCCGTTCCTCCTGGCTCCCCCCCCTGTGGGTCCCTGCTCGCGTCAGCTGAGCTGCCAGCTCTGGGGCAGGTCCTGTCGGGGACTTGAGGCTCCCTCGGTGGCTCTGCTCTTGTCGCTCTGAGTTGAGGCTCCTGGACGCTGATCTCCCCCAGCTCCAGTGTTCAAGGTGGCCTCTCTCGAGCTACTCACCTCAACAACTGACCCACAAATAAGCCACTCTCCATCATATTTGAAAAATCATTGCAGTCAGGTGAAGTTCCCAACAACTCCCATTTTCAAGAAGGGGAAAATGGATGACCTGGGGGATTACACACCAGTCAGTCTCACCTCTGTGCCTGGCAAAATCTTGGAGCAGATTCTCCTGGAAGGCATGCTAAGGCACATGAGAAACAACAAGGTGCTTGGTGACAGCCAGCATGGCTTCACTAAGGGGAAATCCTGCCTGACCAATTTGGTGGCCTTCTATGATGGGGCTAGGGAACTGATGGACTGGGGTAGAGCAGTTGATGTCATCTACCTGGACTTGTGCAAAGTGTTCGACACTGTCCCACATGATATCCTTGTTTCTAAATTGGAGAGTCGTCAGTTTGATGGATGGACCGCCCGGTGGATAAAGAACTGGCTGGATGGCCACACACAAAGAGTTGTGGTCAATGGCTCAATGTCCAGCTGGAGACCACTAATGAGTGGTGTCCCTCAGGGATCGGTGTTGGTACTGGTCTTGTTCGACATCTTTGTTGCTGACATGGACAGTGGGATTGAGTGCGCCCTCAGCAAGTTTTCCGATGACACCAAGCTGTGTGGTTCGGTTGATACGCTGGAGGGAAGGAATGCCATCCAGAGGGACCTTGACACGCTTGTGAGGTGGGCTGATGCCAACCTCATGAAGTTTAACCATGA